AACTGCTGAGTTATCTCTTGTATGCAGTGTGGCTCTGCCCTCTCTGTGCATGTGTGTGTTTGTGTGTGTGTGTGTGTGTGTGTGTGTGTGTGTGTGTGTGTGTGTGTGTGTGTGTGTGTGTGGACAAGCAGCACAGTGTAATCCCATGGAAATGAAAGGTGCTGCCACACACTGGCCGGGATGTAACAGCACCGCTCTATCGAGCTGCCAGGACACACCACCCGGCTGAGAGAGCAGCTCACTGTTAAACCCAGAAAACACAGTCATTCACACACCTCGTCGCTCCTCTCCGACGCCTCTCTCTCTCTCTCTCCCCGGGTCGTCCCTTCTTCATTTGCCGTCTGCTCTGGTTCTTTCACACTTCTCCTGTAGCTTCAGCAGAAGTGTGTTATTTCCTTTCGGTCTTACTCAGGCTGTTGGAGTTTAGGTCATCGCGTCTGACCACGTCACCGAGCCTCTGAAGAGTCCTTCTGTCTCTGCAGCTGTGAGTTCTTAGTTTGCCCAAACAAACACCTCATTACTGTAACAGGGTTCATTACAAAGAAGCTGCCTCATTTTGAATCTGTTCAACTCCAACCACTATTCAAAACTCACCTATTTAACTGAAAAGACATTTTTACAAGGGTATAAACTAAAACAGGCTTTAGAGTTAAACTAGATATCTTCCTGTTTTCAGATTGATCAATTACATCTGTTTAAGGTCTGTTGTTTGTTTTATTTTTATTTTCAAAGACTAGAAATCCCTGAAACTCCTGACTTGTTGGAGGCAATGAATTTGTTTATTTTTTATGTTAGAAATTTTCAGTGTGAAATAATCAGAAAACAGTCTAATGTCTCAATCATGTTGGAAGGAAAGTTACATTGAAACAGATTTCGTTCTCAGTCTGCTGGGGGGCCTATCAGCTTTTCTGCTTTCGAAAAAGCCAAAGAGGGACGTAGCTACTGTTTACAGTCTCTGAGCCCGGGAGCTTTCCAAGTCTATGCCGAGCTAACGCTGCTGCGCCGAAATTTGTAATTCAACACATGCTGACAAAATGCAGCACTGTTTACTATAGAACCTAATCCAGTAATAGGAGCAACCCAGAAGTAATTTCTTGTATCTCTAAGAAGCCACAGCATCTTTTTGTTATACTCTAATATTGAATGAAGAAGGCTAGAAGCTAACGTTGAGCTAACAATGCTAACAGTGAATTAGAAGCAAATAGTCAGCTATAAAAAAACCTTAAGCTTCTTTTTCAATTTCCAACAACTCAATATTACAGTGAAATGTATTTATCTACTTATCAACTTATTGTCTATGACTCGTCTTCACTCATCATCTAGAATCTGCTGGCGCTGAACTGACGTAAAGTCTCTTTCTGGAATATTTCTCTCATCCGATGGCACCGTCTAGTGGCTGACAAGCATGTCACACAAATCATTTCTCCTTCCGTGTTTTTAAGATGACGACTTCACGTTTCTTGTTTATTTACGTCCTTCTGTAGCTGACAAACAGCTAAAACACGTTGTTTTACGAGTATTGTTCTCATGTCATGTTGCATTCTCATATATTTATATTTTAGAGACTTACTTGTCCGTGAAAAGTTCATCAACTCTGCATCAACCGAGGTATTCCTTAAATTTGAAGCACGTAAGCGGCAGTCTAACGCTAATAGTAAGTTCTGGTCGGCGCTCAGTTTTCTATTGCACGGAGCTCTGCCGGGCAGGGGGCGTGCTTAGCACAAAAAAAAAACGTATCGCTTACGTTATATCATAGTACACGATAAAACAGGAATGGGGAACCCTGGTCCTCGAGGGCCGGTATCCTGCATGTCTTTCCTCCAACTCTTCTGATTCAGTGGTTGGTTCACCTGTTCTGCAGCTCATCAAGCTCTACAGAAGCTCATTAATCACCTGCTGATTGTGTGATGATGGTGTCAGGTGTGATGATGCAGGGTTGAAACTAAAATATGCTGGATAGCGGCCCTTGTTGGACCAGGGTTCCCCACCCTTGCGATAAGATAATCACTTTTACGGATTTCTGAAAAACCATAGATTATTTCTGAAAGGTGGAAACCCTGGAAACATAGTAAAAGTATTAAAGTCTGAATTTTCAAATGTACTTAAGTGAAAAAGTAAAAGTATTCCACTAGTGCCACAGTTTTATTTGAATAATTGATACATTTGCCACAGTGCGATGAATTGAATAATTGGATGAGCCTTAACTCATTCACTGCCAGCCGTTTCCTGATCAGAGAAGCCCTTCGCGGCCAGCATTTTCAGCGTTTTCACAGTTTTTTTTAAGAGTCATAGAACATTGCGCGCTAGGAAGATGTCAACGCCAAAACTAACAAAACAAGGAGAAGACTCACCTCCTACATCAAGAAGAATCCGCGCGTTTCAAGCATTGTCTGTTCTTTCATAATCCGTTGTCAAGTTGTGATTGGCAGAAGCTTTTCCAATTCGCGCCTCACTTTTTTTACAGCAGCGGCCCAAAACGATCTCCTAACACGGATTTTATGCTTCCTGATCACATGACGTGTGACGTACACGGATGAAGATCGGCCTTAGAGCTGGGATGTTTGTTCTCATGGTGCGGGGGCTCGTTACAACGCCCACACAGTAAAGCAATGCAAATGACGACTTTAGTAGTTTAAGGCAAAGCGAATAAAAAATAGCTTTTATAGCCTCGTTCACTTTCATTCGTTTTTTCTTTGTTCCGGAGACCCATGAGAAAGGGAGGACACTAAACTCCCCTAGACCCAAGTACAGATACAGAAAAAATATAAATTAAAAAAAAAGGGGACCCAATGCCTCCCTAATTGACACTCAGCAATAAGGGGTTGGATTGGGGGGTTAAACCACCAAATGGTTCCCGAGCGCGGCTGTGTCTGCAGGGGACGGGTCAAATGCGGAGAACAAATTTCGCACACACATCAGTGTGTGTGACAACTAATGGGACTTTAACTTTAACTTTGGAAGTTGTTTATTTGATAAAAATGTTTTTTTTTATGTCAGAGTAGGGCTGGGCAATATGACCTAAAATCAATGTCACGATATATTGAGGATTTAACTTCGATAACGATAAATGGATGATTACTACAGGTATGAGCAGAAACAAAAGTTGTCCACTAGATGGAGTTGTCACGCGTATTACTTAAGTAACATTTTTACGTGACTCAAGGTGGTACAGCTTCTTAAAAGGCACATGAACGTTACCAACCTACTCCTTTTCACTTTTTTACTATCAAATTTATTGACATAGGAAAAATGATCTCGATAAAAGTCAGAAATTTCGATGATAAATTTTTGATTTATTGCCCACCCCTATTTCAGAAGTGAAATAATTCCTTTGGTATGAAAGCTTCAACAATACAACCAACAATTAAAGCTGAAAATTTAGCCTTTGACTTTGAAGTAAGCAGTTACATACATTAATAATATACAGAAAATACTCATAAACAATATTCAGTAAACAACAATGAGAAAAAAATAGTGCTGCATTTTCAAGTTTTCTGCCTAATTGTCACAGTGTGTGAATGTGAGTGCAAAAAACATAGTAAATAACAACAACAGCAATAATAATAATAATAATAATAATAATAATTATTATTATTATTATTATTATTATTATTATTATTATTATCCAGGCCAGTTCCATGAGTTTATTTTTAAGCATGGTTTAAAAGCAATTTCTGACTTTTATTGGTTAAACCTAATTTGTATTTATTATTTTGTCAGATTCAAGTTGTTTCTGTGACCACTGTGGGTTTTTCTTTCATTTCCTGAAAGGTACCAACAATTTTGTCTACATCTGTATGTATACTGTTCCTTTATACAATTAATAAATTAAAGAAAATCTTGAAATTCACATTGAAAGTGCTTTTAAACTTTATTTGTAAAACCGCAAAACCGCAACGCGGCGGGGTCGTGTATGGCTTGGCAGAAAAAGAAACGCCAGTGCCGAAGTTCAGTGTGATGTGCTCTTTTATTGTGCTCATCTTCAGGTGAAACAGCCCCCCTCATTGGAACCTGAATTGACTCTGATAACCAACAACGCCCACAGCGCAGAGCATCTTTTTTAAAGGGCCAGGCCCCGCCCAACCACTAAATTAACATCCTTTTCTCGGCAGTTTTAAATCACACACATCAACACATCCTAATGCTATCACCAAGCAATAGTACATTTCAACCCATGATCTACTTTTACATCTACACATTTTTCCCCTTTACATGTTAATCAGTTAACAACTCAATAATGCAGAACACATACACCGATGGTAGCCTACTGAAATATAATTTTAGCAATCACAACAAAACATCATGTGTGCACCCACGACAAATTGCTTTGTGTTATGCCAAAACCAACAGCTGATGTTTATAAACACATGTAGATATTCTGGGGGTACCCACCAACTGGTCCAACTTATAGGACAGGTGTAACTCGTGACGGCTCCTCCGTCACACGCAATATAAACTATTGAAGTAATATTTACATTTTAGCATCTTTTTCTTTAGATTAAAAGGGTTCTAAATGTGACGCAGATCGAACGATGCTGCAAACCTGCAGAAACCTTCTCTTGCTGTGACCGAAGCTGCAGATGTTGACCTCTGTTACCCTCCAGCAGCTGCCCTGCTGTAGCTGAACGCGTCTGCTCAGGCTGGTTGTGTGATTCGTTTGCATTGCGAGCGCCCGGTCATGTTTGTGTGCTTCGTGGCCCTCTGCTGGATCATTTCAAACACAGAGTCACTTTCCTTCCTCCCCAGGGTGCTGCTCAGGCTGCACTCAGTATGCCAGCGTGTGCTTCTTGTCACATTAAACGGTTCCTTCCTGCTGTGCTGCTTGACCTTGACTAATTCACGTCTTCATCTTCAGCTGCGACACACAAACTGCAGCTTCAGCTTTCGTCAGACGAAGATGTTTTATTCTTTTTTTGTTTTTTAGAAGAAACATTATTGATGCTTTCTTGAAGCAGGTGTTTGGTCTCCTCTAAATCAGATTTATTATTTTTTTATTTCAGGGCTGGCTCTGCGAGTTGCTGCGTTGGAAGGAGGATCCGTCTCCTGAGAACCGAACGCTCTGGGAGAACCTCTCCATGATCCGACGCTTCCTGAGCCTGTCGCAGGCCGAACGCGACGTCATCTACGAGCAGGAAAGCAGCTCCGGCCAGCAGCACCACAACGAGCGCCCGTCGCACCTTATACACCTGTCCACCGAGCAGCTTCAGGTGAGCGAGGAACGTCGTCAGCTGATCCACAGCTAAACCGAACATCTCACTAATTAAATTCACACAAACAAGTTTTAAGGAGTTTTTCCACATTTTATCGACATTTGTTTGGTAAATGACTCATCTGACGGGAGAGAAAATAATCAGCTCTTTAGTAGAATTTTTTCCACGACACACACACGAGATCCAGCACCAGACTCTCTTGATAACTGAATAATCTACTTACCAAATCCTAAATGTCTCAGACTAAAACAAATAAGTGAAAAACACGTTTTTTGTCCCTTTATGTGCATTTGACTAATAACCCAGGAAAATAAATAAACACCACTTAAGAGTTTTAATGAACGCCTGTAAATTAGAGCCACAGCAGCACTTCAAACTTCCTACTTTTCAGCAAAGGCTGTTTTCAAAGATATCATTAGGCTGAACTTATTTAACAGAGCTGCTTTCTACCAGACATCTGGCGTATGAATTGCAAATAACACAAAGGCTCAGTTAACGGTGGAAACATCTTAATGAAGTACAATAATACTCCTATTAAAAGTCCGTGCCACAGCTGACTGGCTGAGTTGTTATTTGGTTTCTCAGAGACACAGCCGGTGTTTCACAGAGACTCGTTCACCGGGTAGAAGCACGGTTTCACTTACAAACCCGCTCCTGCTGCAGAGCTGGAAACGTGCAGACCTTCGCTTGCAAACAGAACTGGTTGTAGATAGAAGGGTTAGGGTTTGGGCTATTTCTGACTAAATAGAGCAGTTCTGCTCTGTCCACAAAGAGCAGTGCTCTTTCATAATGCCACACGTCAGCCAAATCAGCCCACTCTGGCTCAACAAGAGCAGTGGTATGTTGGTCCAGTAAAACTGCATCTTTGGGTGCATTTATGCAGCTGGCAGGCAGAGTCCCTGCAAAGTGCTGTTTTGCAAACTTGATTATGAAACACCTATCCACAGCGTCTGACTCAGACATGGAAATGAAAGAGCAGCCATTTTTGCAGGGTCAACAGGGACCACGAGTTGCCCACTCGCTCCCTCTCCAGCCACACAATGAGACGTTTTACGAGTAATGCGTCATGTGTTTACACTAACGGGACTCTGACGGCAAAGTGGAAGCCATCGATAGCATTCTCACGCCGCAGCTAATCAGCCAGACCATCGCTACGTGGATTTGTGCACGGGGAGCTTGTTTATCGCTGCCTGGCAGCCGAGCCTGATAAGCTGCAGAGGACATAATGGAGAAGCCAGTTTTCCTGAGAATTCCCACTTTTTGTTGTTGTGCTGGTGTCGTTGCAGTTCGCTTTCAGCCCCAACAATAAAAACACAATCTCACTTCACGTCTGAACCGGAGAGAAAGGAAAAAAGTTTCTGTGAAACTGATAACATTCAGTCATGTAGAAGGGAAACGTGTTTCATCGTAGATCTTCTGATTTTAACGGGATGTTTCAATTGTTTTGCCTCTGGGTTAATGTTATAAATATTTGCTGTTAAATAACGCTCCTGAACAGCCTCTGTTCAAAGAAATAGTGTTTGAATTCCTCAGGACTGGTGAGCTAGTGGCTGCCGCCTTAAAACTGTTTTGACTTGCACCTTGAATTACACAAATGTTCTTGCAGAAATAAAAAATAAATACAATAATCCCTAATGACCTTTGACCTCTGGGCACATCAAATGTCCTTCCTCCTGCTCCTGCTTATCTTTGCAGATGAAATCACCACATTTGTTTGAAGTATCTGTTTTAAGGTGTCAGACTAGCCATTAGCTCATCAGTCCTGGGGCTGTAAACCCTATTTCTATGAACTGAGGCTGTTCACGAATAATTCTTTTCAACTTTTATAACAAACCTGTTTATGGTTCTGATTGGTAACACCCTTACCTTCTTTTTGTTCTTGTTTTTTTTTTTTCTCAAATTCAGTCTCAGTCGACTCAGCTGCAGCAGCACCAGCCCTCCCTGTCCCTCCATCCTTCCCAGCCCCTTTTGTCCCAGCAGCCCCTGCAGCAGCAGCAGCCCCTCACCGGCCCCAGGCTGCCTCCCCGCCAACCCTCCACCGCCTCCCCGGCCGAGACGGAAGACGAGGGCAGCCGCGGAGGGAGCATCAAGTCCCGCAGCAGCGGAGGGAAGATCTCCCTGGAGGCGCTGGGCATCCTGCAGAGCTTCATCCAGGATGTGGGCCTCTACCCAGACGAGGAGGCCATCCACACCTTGTCCGCCCAACTGGACTTACCCAAGCTCACCATCATCAAGTTCTTCCAGAACCAGCGCTTTTACATCAGCCACCCAACCAAGGCGCCCAAGGAGCCCAACAACAACAACAACAGCAGCGGCAGCAACAACAGCACAGCGGTGAACACCAGCAGCAGCAGCAGCAGCAGGAGCAGCCCGGCCTTCGAGGAGGAGCTGACAGACTTCAGGGAGAGCGGAGAGCTGCTGAAGGAGTTGGACGAGAGCACGCAGACCAACAGCACCATCTTCTCCATCAAGATCGAGGAGCAGCTGGGCCGAGGCGCCGAGACCCACCACGAGTCGGAGCATGAGGTCAAAGAGTAGAAATCCGGCTCCCTCCGATCCTGGACTCAGAGTTCTGACCCGCACACTCAGACTGATGACCGTGCTGAATCCGAACGTTCTGAACGACACGACCCGGCGAGCTGGAAAAGCAGACAAGCAGCGTTGTCTGTGCACGCAGCGTCGGGACTGAACGGGAAGTGTTTATGTATAAATTAAAGTTACAGGCTCTGTGAAGTGACACACACACACACACACACACACACACACACACACTGAAAACCCATCTCATGTACTACTTTTTGGATTTTGTAAAACTTGTAATATTCACTGTAAAAACCGATGCATCGTTTTAATAATCTGCACAAAAACATTATTGTAAAGTACGTCACCGTGGATATTTGCTGGCTGCACTCGATGTCTGTTGTTTTACACTGACTATCTTTTTGAGCTACAGATTATATTAAAAAGAAAAAAAAATCAAAAAGACCCCCTGGAGTTTACTAAGAATTTGATAGGTGTATGTAATGTTTTAACTGGAATTTTCATTTTTGTTAATATCAAATGAAATCGAGGACCAAGTGGTTGTAAAGGCCTTAATTGTGAGGTGTGACGTCTGCAGCCTGCTGGAGGAGGAGTCATTCTTTTAAAAAGAGCATCGTGTGATTAGAAATCACTCCAAACTCGGGAACGCAATCACCCGAGAACAGCCGAACCGTTGCTTATCATTTGTTAGGGAAGATATATAATATAAATATATATAGACATTATATTGTAACTGTAAAAAAGTACAGTCTTAAAGAAACTATGCCAACAAATGCCTTGTACAATACGGCACTGCCGATGTTAGATTATTTTGCAAAACCTTTGTCACTGTAACTCTCTGACTCGCCACACAGTTAAAACAATGTGAATTAAACTATGTTTATGTTGTCTGACATTATTTATTTGCTGTGTTTCTGATGTAATTACAGTTTATTTTAAAAGTTTATCACAGTTTTTCCTCTTTTTTTTTCTAAATTCTGCCATTTTTTTCTATTTATAAATGTGATTTAACACTGGCAGTGGAAGCAAAAAGTGTCTTAAACGTCTTCAGTGGAGAAATGTGCTTTAAAGGTCGCCTATAAAGTGCTGTATGTCGAGCAAATCGTGCTACAAGCTTCACAATTATTGTCGTATGCAACTTTTACTATCATGCAAATAAGCTTAGGTGAGATGACTAACCTATGGAACACCTTAGAGAGAAGAGAACATATGCAATCTGTGTGAAAATCCATGTCTGCCATGTGTCTTCCTTTGGTTCGAGATCCAACTCTAAAAGCTCCTCCTGTAAAAAAAAAAATAAGAGAAAAAATAACAATCCTGTACAAAAAGTTTTTTTAAGCGTTGATTCAGACGAGAACACCCGTTATTTTGTTACGACTGACTGTTTTCTATGTGTTCCTCGGTTCCTCTCTGCAGAGATGTTCTAACTAGAAGTGATTGTTAATGACACGATTAAACCGTTTGTATGGTGACACCGATTCCTCGAGCGGACTCTTTTGCCCTCAGAGGGGTTTTTACCAAGCGGAGCTGAGATGATGTGAGCTGTTTCTGCGGCTGAGAGACGCCGGCTGACCCGGACATGTTTGTAACAATAACTGTAAATATCACATCCTATCAACCGCCGATTGTTTATGATTGTAAATAGGTTTGAAGTTTGTGTGAGAGCTCACGGCGGGGAGCTGAATCCTGCGCTCTGTTGTGCCTCTTCTTCTCAGAGCGACTGTACCTGGGCTCTTCTTACTGCTGAGTGTATCTGAAACACCTGTGAAATCTCAAATCAATAAAAGCTGAGGTGTGAACACCTGGAATGGAGAAATGGAGAAGCCCTCTTGCAGCACAGGTGTCCTGACCTGACGGTGAACTCCAGGTGAGGAAATTACCCTCACCTGTGAACATCCAGACAAGCGGTCTGGGTTCTTTTCATGTTTTGCTCATTGAAACACAAATAGATGGGGAAAAAAAAAGATTCAGAATTGTCAAACACTCAGGATGTTCTTCCCTCTTTCGCCAGAGGTGATGATCTGGGGACACGAAGCACATTAAGGGGTGAAAACAAGATGTCGTGAAGTAAAGAAGCACCATTACGCTTCATTATTTCCTGATTTTTCTTCTTTTTGCATTAAAATGGCTGACTGACAGAGGTGCCAACGAACATCAGCAGCTTCAGGATTGTATCATTATCACCATTTTCACGAGGATCAGCCTCATTTGTCTCAGCAAAAACCTTCTGGAGCACCAATACTTCCATAGGACAGATGTACCTGGTGCAGGAAGAGAAAAATACACCAGAACAGGTGATTTTGTGTCCTAAACTGGCTTTAAGTTTCTCTGCATCTCTTCACATCAGATATCTCCTCACACGTTTAGTGGTGAGTCAACTCAGGAATCTGTTGCTTATTTTTATATGGTCTTTACATTATTAGGCCACGCCAGACAGATACTTAAACAGATCTGGGAGCAAATAAGCCATCCTCCACATGGACGTTGCAGCTGACGCACGTGTGGTGAAGCTGGGCTGGAGCTCTGCACACACTTCCATCGTCCAAATGCATGTTTGAGCTCCAAAAAAAGCGAGGAGGAGAAACCGATGTCATTCTAAATCTTAATGCATAAAGGGAAACAATTAGTTTAATTGTTTATTTTATCTTCATAAAGCTAATTTTCAAAATAAAAGTTAAAAATTTTGGGAAAAAAAAAATAAAACCTGTGATGGACATGTAGTGTTGCAACCTCTTTTTTCTTTTTTTTTTTAACGTTTGCCTTTTGTCTTTAAACTTTTTATGCTTTGTCAAAAAAAAAAAGGTCCTAAAAGTTGCTGAATAAGTACAAACATTAACATAATAAATTCCTTACGATGTGTATAAATAAATCTACCAGTAAACATGGAGTCCACACACTGGAAATACATCTCTGAAGCACTTTTATGAAAGCACCACCTCCGTAAACAACACTCTGAATGAAGCTCTGGTTCCAGGTTTAGATCAAAGATCTAAAACGTTTAAGTCACTCTGGTGAAAGAAAAGTTTAAAAATAAGGTTGGTAGTTAAAAACTGTGAAACAGAACAGTCGGTGAACGAGAGTTGCTCCAATAATTTGGTTTTGTGCCACACTGAGGATGCACATCTGCAGCATGGACACATTTAAAGATCATTCATGCTCTGTTGAACACATTCTCTGCGAGAGTCCTCCAGAAGACGTCAATCAAAAGTCAACAAGGAGTTTGGGCTTCATATGAGCAGAATGCAACCGTGCATCTGTTTTAGTTCAGAACAAAGACCTTATTTAAAGATGGAGGCTGGGAGAGTCACAGTTTAGAGAAAGATGATTCATGTTTTCTCCAAGATGAACAGCCTGATGAGCATCACTTGGAAACAGAACAAATAAATATTAAAGGTGTAACAAGCTGCTTTCATGACAAATCCTGTTCTTTTTGTGCATGTCGTGGTTCAAACTAAGTCACAAACTCGCAGGATTTTTCCATCCTGCACATCCTTCGATCACCAGTAGAGCTCCAGGAGTCTTTGTAGCTTGTTGGAAAAGACTCGAGTAACGAGCTCTGCATTGTTGCAACATGAATGAAAAAAAGATGATTTCAGGTGCTCAAAATTGACTTTCTGCTTTCTAACATGATGCAAACAAAAGTTTAAACTTAAATTAGCAGGTTTAGAACAAACAGCAAGGACTCAGCTAATGAAACTTTAGGAAAACTTTCTGTTTTTTGTGCATTTTCTGTGACAATTATTCCATTTATGACCAGACTGAGACCAGATTAAATGCGGTGAATTCCTGGAGTCACTTGATGTTTTATATTTTAATCTCTGGCTGCAGCCATTATTTTGGGCACCATCTTTGCCGTGTGTGTCTCCAGATTAATAAGGACGTTACGCTCAGGTTGCTGCAGCACAACATCGGCAGGTCTGGCTCGCGCCGCGGAGTCCTCTGTGCCTACCCATGAGCCCTTGGGACTGCACAGTAAATCAAACAGGAAATGCAGCAGAAAGCCTAATAAAGTTATTTTAATGATGTCAATCTCCGAGGGATCGCCGCAACATAAACTGGGAACTTGTCTCCGCGTGTGTTTTTCTTGCACAGAACCATCAGGAAAGAAAAGCTCCTGTTTTATGTGAAGAAGCAGAAGGTTAGAAGTGTGGAAATTAATAACTTTAATCACGGCCGCTCTTTGCCTCCCAGGTTTCAGGAGACTAGATTAAACCTGAACCGACATGGGGGGGAGGAGCTGAAGCTGTCCTGCTGATCACATTAGTTCAGGAGCATCATGTGAATTCTGAGTTATGAAAACACAACCTCCTTATCTGGTTTGAGTTTATTAACACGGATAATTCGGAGTTATGTGGTTTCCGTTACGTCCTTTGTGGATGTAAACGGGCCCTTTCAGCCGCTGAAAGCATCCGTCTTCTCTCTGAGGCTGATGCGGCTGCGCAGACCCTGTTTGCAGTTAGACGTCGCAAACTGCCACATGGATCTGTCCAAACCCTCATCGATCCTTCACTCCATCAGCGTTGGAGCAGTCCAGTCCAGGAGAAACTGCAGCATGAGGTTTATTTGTGTATTTTTCATGGAGACAGCAGATTTTCCTAATATTTTAGTAACAATCAACTCATCTTTATTTATACAGTCTGCAGGCTCTTGTTCATTTTCGATGATTTCATCTGAGGTGGCCCTCTTGCCATCTGAAGTGCTAATTGAACCCATTTTTCTTTTCAAAACCTGTCTTACCACTTTCATTTTAAAACAATAACTCATCGATGAACAACACCACTCGCCAGGCACCACTTGTCACGATGGTTCCACTTGTGCATTGACCAAAACAGACTCAACAGCAAAAGTTGCATCACTGATTTTTCATTTTTTAAACATTTTTTAGGTCGTTTGTGCATCAGAGTGCCTCACCACTTACGGGTCTGAATTAGGTTTAATATATTCAGTGTTTTTAAGAGCAGAGAGCTGCAGCAGCGTGGTAGATAAACAGCTGGATCTGAGAATGTTTTTTTCCCCCCTCCTCAATAGTCCTTAGAGGCTGTCTGATTAACCATTTTTACACAAAAAAGAGGAAAAATAAGTCCTAAATGTGCTAAAATCTGACAAATATATACTTCAATTCTGCAAATTAAGACAAATAAAAAAGTCTTTTGAAAAGTTCATAGTGACCCTCCAGAGGTGGTGATGCAGATGCATGAATGCTGACATGCTCTGAGAGGCAGAAGGCAGAGAAGCATTTCTTATATCTGATCATACGTGGTGACAGATGGGCGACGGTGGAGCGACGGTATTCTGCATGCATGGAAATGTGCAGAAACAGCTTTAAAAGCAGGAAGGTTTGGGTTGTTGTTTTCACACCTCGTGTGCCTACAAAACACTTCCATCTTCGGAAACAGGGAAGAGTTGCACAGAAATGGTCATTAGTTCCAAGAAAGACACAAGTTTAAGATATGAATAGCTGTAAATCTTTCCTGTTGCAGGTGAATGGGAAAAAATTGTGACCATTTCTGAATCTGAGATCTTCTCTGCCAGGATGATGGAGCAGTTGCGAGGCCTCTTGCCACCTTTCCCTCCTTGACAATTAAGCATCTAGAGAATGGAAAAGAAGCCGTTAAATTGCCTTAACAGCTGTGCAGGGTATGAATAACTCGTTAGCTGTGTGCATTTTAAGTCATCAAATCCCGAACCCCCTCACCTAACCCTCATTTGCAAAGGGGACAGGAGGGAGGTGCTAATTAAAGTGATAAAGAGAACAAATCTTATCGAATCTGGCACTGGATTTTTTCTCCTAGAGGTTGGGGTGGAGGTGTTGGTGTGCACAGAAAAAAAATCCACTTTTACATCTGCATTCTCAAACACTCAGGGAAGGTGCTATTTCATGTTTAATTAATTAAGTTGTCTCTTTAACTGTATCTTGACAAACGTGATGCCAATTAGATAGTGTGGAGAAATTGTTTATTGTTAATTAATGGTTGATTTGTAGGGAAAGGAAGTAAAATCTTCCAAAATTGTACCTTTTCATGACTGTTGAAACAAAGAAATGAGCATCTGGGTGCAAGGTGCAGCTTTCTGTGGGAGGATCAATGGTGATGAGGTTTTTCAGTAACTAACAGTTTATGAATCTTTAGAGGTCGCACTACAAATCCACACCAAACAACCTGAGTTGTGCTTTAAGTGGAAGAAAAGAGGCAGTTTTCCTAAAAATTAAAGTGCATTATTTAATGAAACGGAGCTGCTGGGGGTAGTAATGAGCTGTCAGTATCTTACCTGCAGCAGGCCGGAGTCGGAGGGATGTCAGTTTGGAAGAAGAAGAATCAGACGGCTAATTGGAACAGAGAGTGACTACAAAAATGTAAAAACATTTGAGTTAAAAGGACTTTCCTGATCCATTCAACTGTGTTTTTCAGATGAACACATAATGGTAATATTTGGCTTCACCTTCTTCTGGTCATATTTACATCTTCGTTTGAAGGCTACAGGTGGACATAAAGATCTGGATGCTTTTGTTTAAACTATGAATTTATCTTGGCTACAGCCTCCAGATGTTTCCACAAAGCAGACAGACAGACAAACAGGAAGACCAACAGACAGACAAGCAGACAGACAGACAGACAGACAGAAAAGCAGACAGACAGACAAACAGGAAGACCGACAGACAAGCAGACAGACAGACAGACAGGCAGACCGACAGACAGACAAGCAGACAGACAGACAGACAGACAGACAGACAGACAGACAAGCAGACAGACAGACAGACAGACAGAGACAGGCAGACAGACAGACAAACAGGAAGACCGACAGACAGACAAG